GATGGAAAGCAAATTCCTAAAATTCCAATTACAGAATTGGCTAACTATAGTACTTAATTGTGAGATCTAAAATTAACATTTAAATCAAATAAATTTAGATTTGATTTTCTTCTTTCATATTATTTTTAATTTAATAGGCAATTTTAAATTTCAAAAAATTTAAATCCTATTCCTTTTGCAATATTTTGTGCATTATCTCCACAACAAAATAACCCAAACTCTGCCATTCTATCTAATAAGACTAAAACAGCTCTTGGTACATCTTAAAGTTCATCTAACATCAAATAATGTACATTTTCAATAACATCATTTCTTAAACTTAATTCATAATTAATATGATTTACAATATCTAATAAATCATAATATCCATAATTTTATTTTAATCTTTCATAAGTTTCAAATGCCTTATAAATTAAATTTGTTTGTACTTCAGATAAAATTTTATGATAATAAGAATAATTTTCTAAATTCATATATTTTTGTGGATATTCATGTGAAGTTTCATGCCCTTTAATTTTTGTACAAATTTCACTCCATATTAAAGAAGGAACAAAAGCTGAAACATCAATATTATCTTTTTTTAATTCAATAATAATTTTAGGCCAAAAGATTTTTTCAAAAACATCTAAAGTAACTTCTTACAAATTTGTTTCAATAAATTCTTGATTATCTATAAACTTAATATGTTTATGAAGAAGATTTTCGTTAAATAATGATTGAGTTTAATTTTAATCAAGTGTCATTAGACCAGAAGATTCATTATGCCATTAAGACAATTTATTTTAATATCCTCCATATAATTTAAAAAATGGATTTAAAAGTGAGGAATCAATTAGAGCTAATAATTTTCTTAAAGTTAAGAAAACAGGATATTATTGAATTTCACTAAATTTATTAAATTTTCCCATTTCATTTTCAAATTCAGTTATTTCTTCATCTTCCATTTCATTTTCTTTCAAATCATTTTATAAATTTGTATCATCTATTTCATCATCATTTTATTAAAATGCATCTATTATTTAATATGTACTTTATTCTAAATCAATATTTTAAGGTTATACATACTTCTATTATTTATATTTTTGTCTTTTACTGTTAATTGCATTTTGGATATTATTTACTAATTAAATATATAACCTTTTAACTTAACATACCAATAATGGACTTGCTGTTACAAATACTGTTTTTAATTAAGAATTTTAATCTTATTAAGATAATTAAATATCCATAAATTCAACCTTCTATTATATATAAATTTATTTCCTTAACAAATTAATGATTTAAATATTCTGGGTCCTAACATTTAACATTCTTTCTCAGAAATATCTCCAATCTTCATGTATTTAACTTTTTTTTTATCAAAATCAACTTCTTAAATATTTTTCATATCTGCAAAAAAGTTTGGTTTAATTTGTTAAACTTTTAAATAGTTATTTTATTAATTTTAAGTTTTATCATATGAATTTTCACTTATTGAAACAAAAATCATTTCGTGCACAAAATCAAATTTTAGTGGGTACTCTTAACCATTCATCAAAGGATATTTTTTAGGAAATATTTAAATTTAAATACCGTATCGACTTGCACGTTTATCCTCTAATTAGAAATCCTATTAAAATGGAAACTTTATACTATTTACTTAGAGATGTCTAAGATTTATTATTTATTGATGTTATGTATTAAATTTTCCTTAAACTAAAACTCTAATCATATATAAAACATGAATTAACTCATCATCATTCATTGATTGTAAACCTAATTGAAATTATTCTAAGATTAATAAAGTAGTTTACATGCAAAAGAAAAATCTTTTAGGAAACAAGGTATTTAGAGGTAAATATTTTAAATATTTTTTTGTATTATTTTCCACTTTATATGTTAATCCCATAGATCGATATTCATTTTAATCCTTAATGAGATTGATGTACATCAGAATTATTCTTTTTATACTTACAGGTTCTACTTATATTTTATGGCTTTTTTTTTTAAGTTATTCGATAGCATCAATCAAGTCAGTTTTTTCTTTTTAAAACTAAAGTTCAAGAGCTTTGATTTATTTTTTTTTTTGTAACATACTTTAATTCATATTAATTTTTAATAAAAATATTTAAATAAATTTTATTAATAAACTCAGTTATATGATATTGATATTTTGATATAAAAAGCATTTGTTAATAATATTAATATTTGATTTCCACCTGATTAAAGATAATCTGAACTATTTAAATGATGGTATTCAAAGCATAGTGTTTAGTTATTGGTTTAACGAATGAAAAAAGTCTTTTAATCACTCTGAATTTGGATTTAATCCTTTATTTATTTTAAAAATTATTTGATCTTTGTATTTTAAGCTTGATTAAATACTATAATTTATAGCATTATATTTATTTATTGCATTATTTTATTATTTTGTTCTCTTCTTTGTATTTATATTTAATTATGGATTTGAAAATAAATTATGCTTTATATTCGTAAAGCAAAATATTTGATTAAATATTCTCATCAAACACCCGATTGAAAATATTTAATTATTTAGTTAAAGCTGAATGAAAAGTTCTTTTATTAGTAAATTAATTAATTCAAATGAAAAATTTCATTATCTTAAACCAGCTTTTTAACTTATAAATGAAATAGTGATTATTGCTAAGGTTAACATAGAAGATTTAAATCATGTGTTTTTCCCATTCATTTTCATTGTTTCAATCAAAATTTACCAAACATGTTGGGCTTTTTGCATTTAATCTTAACATCAGTTTTTTACTGATACTAAGATTTAAAGAAAAAACCTAAAAATCTGATCTATAAAATGGACATGATTCAAATTACTTTAAGCTGCTACATATTTTATTTTTTCACTATTAAATATTTATTCTCTTCTATTTAATTATAATGTCAAAAAAGAATTAAGTATAGTCTTTTTTCTCAGCTTTTTTTTTTAAGTGCCATTTCTCTTATGCAAATTTATAATATTTAAATAATTATTGATAGATATCATCGTTAAGGTTAAACTAAGAATCAAGGTAAAACCACCTATTGTCAATTTATTTAGGTCCTTAAGATTTGTTATTTCTTATTCCCTCCACTAAAATGATAAA